CTAAAGCTCCTCAAAGATATCTGCTAGTCTGCTCTACTGTAGCACGTCTCGTTCCGCTGCAAAACGATCACATCCGCCCACACAGGTCGAATATTGGGCCACCGGTACTCCCAACGAGAAGAAAACGCCATCTGGCAGGTGACTGAAATGGCAAATGGTCTCTGCTAGCCTGCCCTTGAACACCTTGAAACCTACTGTAGGTCCTGTTGAGTCCGTCCATGGGCATTTGCCCGTGGACGGGGAGCAACAAGAAGAAGAAGAACACCAGCAGCCAGGCGAGCCGCATCTTGGCTGGAAAATGCGGAATCTGCAGAAATATTTTTCCTTATTTGGACCTCGGATGCTAATTAGGCTCACTCGGGCAGGCTAGCAGAGATTCTTTGAGGAATGGAGGGGCAGGCTAGCAGAGATTCTTTGTGGAATGGAGGGGCAGGCTAGCAGATCTTTGAGGAATGGAGGGCAGGCTAGAGAGATTCTTTGAGGAATGGAGGGGCAGGCTAGCAGAGATTCTTTGAGGAATGGAGGGGCAGGCTAGCAGAGATTCTTTGAGGAATGGAGGGGCAGGCTAGCAGAGATTCTTTGAGGAATCGAGGGGCAGGCTAGCAGAGATTCTTTGAGGAATGGAGGGGCAGGCTAGCAGAGATTCTTTGAGGAATGGAGGGGCAGGCTAGCAGAGATTCTTGGAGGACCGGATTGTATTTTTTGGAATTTGCATACCAATTATGCGTCGAAAAGTGTCAAAAGTGACATTTTTAATTTCATTTGCTCCCCGGCCCCTTATTACGCCATGGTAACCAGTGACCAAACCAGCAGCAAGGTCAAAGACGACCTGCACACCGTAAGGTTTTCCCAAAGAACCCAGCTAGCCTGCCACGTCCATTCCTCAAAGAATCTCTGCTACCTTGCCTTTCAGTTCCAAGTGCTCGCCATGCTGGCCGGCTTCACGCTGATGTGCGCGTGGATTGCGTGGAATGTCGTCTCGGTGGTGCGCGCGAGGAACAGCATCCCGCTCGAGCTGCGGCAGCAGTACATCGCCAACAAGCTGGGTAGGCTCCTTTCAAGGGACTAGAACACTTCCCAAATGATCTCTGCTAGTCTGCCCCCTCCCCCTCTCTCTCATCCCAAATGATCTCTGCTAGCCTGCCCCCTCCCCCTCTCTCTCATCCCAAATGATCTCTGCTAGCCTGCCCTCTCCCTCTCTCTCATCCCAAATGATCTCTGCTAGCCTGCCCCTCCCCCTCTCTCTCATCCCAAAGGATCTCTGCTAGCCTGCCCCTCCCCCTCTCTCTCATCCCAAATGATCTCTGCTAGCCTGCCCCTACGCCTAATTTCAGCCGAAATGGAGATGATGTACGCGTGTATGGGGGACGAGGATGATTCGGTGAGGAAGGATGAGGTGGACCCTGAAGGCATCGACGTCCAGACCTGAAGCTACCATCTACAGCTTCCTTTTAAGTCCCTCAAACTCTGCTATGCGCATTTTTGGATTGTGATTTCGATGTTTTGCCGAATAAAACTGGATTTTGCATGCGAGAGAGGGAGAGTGAGAGAGCGAGAGAGAGAGAGAGAGGGAGAGAGGAACAGAGAGAGAGCGAGAGAGAGCGGGAGAGCGAGAGAGCGAGAGAGAGAGTGCGAGCGAGCGAGAGAGCGAGAGAGCGAGAGCGAGAGAGAGCGAGAGAAAGAGCGAAAGAGAGAGGGAGCGAGAGAACGAGAGAGAGCGGGAGAGAGAGTTCGAGAGAGGGAGAGAGAGCGAGAGAGACAGCGAGAGAGATAGAGAGAGAAGCCGTGTTTTGTTTATGGAGACACTCTTCAAATATCGCGCCAATCAGCATGCGACAAAAACAGAATCAACAGTTCCCCTGAATATCTCGGAATTAGCGTGCGCTTCCGGTGCTCTCGCGTTAAATATTTAGCGTGCCGAGTTTTCCCCCATAGATACGCCGGATAACAGCCAGTACCATGTGGGCTTGCTGGCTTCTACTGCTCGCCTGCTGGACGCCGATTCACGCACAAATACCGTATCCGGGAACGTCGAAGGAAGCATGGGGTGGGTTTTTGGTTAGAGTTCAGTTTACCCCCAGCCGATCCCACCTACCGTATCTCGGCTGCCTGTTCAGCTACAGACGTGTAAAGTATACCAAAGTATTCGTCTTGCTCTGGCGAGCATTTTGGTATACTTTACACAGCTGTAGATCAACAGGGTGCCGAGATACGGCAGGTGGGGGGCTGGGGGTAAACTGCACCTAAAAAATTTCCAGGTACCACAAACCCTATCTTTTTTCCAGTGTATTGCGAGATGAAACCGGCGCGGTCGTCGCTAACGTGGTTAGTGCTATACAGTTTGGCTAGACTGCAGATACCTCCCCCTCGAGCCTTAACTCTTCAGCCATAAGCCCTATGAAAGCTTGGGGTATCTCAAAATGTGCGCCGTCAGCGAATTACTGTAAATAATTCCGTGCGTTAGATTAAAAATTCTTATAACAATTATAAGTCAGGGTTTCCTTTAGTTAATTTTTGCTCGTCCAAAGTGAGTTTTCGTATCTCGGCTATATTTGGACGTACGGAGCTGTCAATGGTACGAAAATGTAGCTCTTGCTCTGGAGAATCAGCCTACAGTATGTTTAAGTAGAAAATGCTAGAAAGTTTTAGACTCCTAGTACATCGAAGCAAAGCGGCCTAATCTTTTCAACTTTCAAAATCTTTAAAAAAAATTTTAACAATTTTTGGCGCAAGTAAACAACTTTTTTATAGGTTTCCGACCACGGCGAACATTTTGAAATACTCCACGCATTAATAGGACTTATGGCTGAGGAGCTGGGGGGGTGGTAAACTGAACCGTAGCCACAGCCTGTACTTTTGTTCTAGGCCCGACGGAAAGCAAACGGTGTGGACGCCGGCGGTGATGTTCCATTTTAAATCCGAGAAACAAGAAACATGCATCGGTGGGCACTTGGCTTAAAGCGCACGTTCAGGGAGGGGCCGTGTACTCGTCCCAACGTGTCCACCCTATGGACGTTGGGACCGCGCGCACTGCCTGCCCGTGGCGTGGCAGGCAATTCTCCTCCTCTCCGGGGTGGGGCGCCCTTCGGCCCCTTGCCAGGTTGTAGCTGTGGCTGACTGGTATCCATCCGCGCCTCCCGAGCGGGGGGTCCGGGTTCGACCCCCGTCCGCGGCAAAAATCTTTGCTTTTTTCCAAAAAAACGTCCCTGAACGTGCCCTTTAAAGCGCACGTTCAGGGAGGGGCCGTGTACTCGCCCCAACGTGTACACCCTATGGACGTAGGGACCGCGCGCAGGGCCTGCCGGTGCTGTGACAGGCCATTCCCCTCCTTTGCGGCGTCGGGCGCCCCTCACCCCCTCGCCAGGTTGTAGCGGTGGCTGACTGGCATGCGACCGCGTCTCCCAATCGGGAGGCCCGGGTTCGACTCCCGGCCGCGGCAAAATCTTTGCTTTTTTCCAAAAAAAGCGTCCCTGAACGTGCGCTTCAAGTCCCCCCCCCCCAGCCGGCACTCACCTACGGTATCTCGGCTCCCTGTTGACCTACAGGTGTGTAAAGTATACCAAAATGCTCGCCAGAGCAAGACGAGCATTTTGGTCTACTTTACACATCTGTAGCTGAACAGGCAGCCGATATACAAGAGGCCGGCTGGGGGGATGGGTTATCTGGAGTCTTACCAATTTTTACATCCTCTACGGGGTGTCCCAAAATTATCCGGACAAAACTGAAAACTGACTTTTTCAATTTTTCCGCTGTTTTCGGCCCCCGCATTGTATTTCATAATATTTTTTGAGGCATTTTCGATGCACCGTGCAAAAAAAAATCCTTAGAGAACGCATTAATAGCTTCACAAGCGAGCGAAGAGCGTGTTAAAATTTTTCGCCTCCTAAATAACATAAAAACTGGGGTGCAAGGGAAAAATTGGGAAGAAACCGCTTTGAAACTTTGTCCGGATAATTTTGGGACACCCTGTAGAATTTTAGTGTGCAAGTGCCACAAAATTTGGCCAACCGACATTCATCCAATCCACGGCTGGCGATGGGTAGGTAGTAAAAAAGAGAACTCTAGGAGGACTCGAAATTTCCAGGACGGCACGCCGGAGGACTGGGAGGCCCGCATTGGCAAGTGGTGCGTTTTTCGCGTGGACGCCGAGGCGAATAGGGCCTACCCGCTGCTGAAGTGCATGCTAAATGTGACACGTCAAGGGGATTACTGCAGTGGGTTTTTTGTATTTTTCCACCGTTTCTTGTGTCTCTAAAACCGGCTAAAGTCTAGTTTACCCCCCCCCCCAGCCGCAACTTTTCAGCCATACGTCCTATTAATGCGCCGAGTATTTCAAAATGTTCCCCGTGGTCGAATTACTATAAAAACGTTGTTTCCTTACATCAAAAATTGTTAGAAAAATTTTTAGAAAAATTATAAGTCTGGGTTTTCTTTAGTTAATCTTTGCTGTTCCAAAGTGGGTTTTCGTATCTCGGCTATCTTTTGACGTACAGAGCTGTCAATGGTACCAAAATGTAGCCCTTGCTCTGGAGAATAAGCCTACAATGTATTTGAGTCGAAAAAATAGCGGAAAACAAAAAATATTTAGGTTTTTGGCTCCTGGTACATTGAAGCACAGCGGCTTAATATTTTCACATTTCAAAATCTTGTAAAAAATTTTCTAACAATTTTTGCCGTAAGGAAACATCTTTTTTATAGTTATTCGACCACGACAAACATTTTGAGATACTCCACGCATTAATAGGACTTACCTTAATTGAAAAGTTTGGGCTGGGGGGGTTAAACTAGAGTCTTACCGGGCTAAACTCCAGATAACCCACCCAGCCGACCCCACCTACCGTATCTTGGCTCGCTGTTCATCTACAGGTGTGTAAGGTATACCAAAATACTCGTCAGAGCAAGACGAACATTTTGGTATACTTTACACATTTGTAGATGAACAGGGAACCGAGATACGGTAGGTGGGTGCCGGCTGGGGGGGGGTAAACTAGAGTCTTACCAAAAGCACCCCCCTTTTCCAGCATTGAGCGAATGGTCCCGTCCAGTCGACGAAGAAACTGAACCCGGTGAGTGCGGGGACGGGTAGACCAGTACGAGCTCTTTAATTCACAACGCCACCAAGATTGGGTTGTTCGCCTAGCCCAGGTTTCGACGCTGTAATCCGCATATTTAGATGCCGATGTTTGGCGGCAGTACTACAGCTTGTATCCGGAAAATGTGAACCTCACAGAGCACATGGTAGTTGAAATTTATTAGTGGAAATAGCATTTACAGTACCCTCCCTGGCTCTCTCCCACAAACTTCACCACCCCCGCCGTGCAGGCTGATGATGATATGTGGGTGAACAATTAAAGCACTGGACTCAAAATAAGCGGTTCTGGGCCGTTAGCGGGGGGGGACGCGTCGAACTTCCTTGGGGCTTCCAACTGTTGTAGCTCAGCTCGATGATGTGCTACTGGGCCGTGAAGTATACCAAAATACTCCCCAGCCCCGGGCGCACATTTTGATATACTTGACACCCCTGTAGCACGACGGGAAGTTGGACCTATGGTTCGGGTCGCGATACGCGACGCGTCGAACTTCCCGGGGCTTCCAACTGTCGTAGCTTAGCTCAATGATGTGCTACTGGGCCGTAAAGTATACCAAAATACTCCCCAGGCCAAGACGCACATTTTGGTATACTGTAAAGCTTTCTAGCACCACGGGGAGCTGAGATACAAAACTTGGGGGATCGGCCTGGGGGATCAACCTGTGCGGTTCTCGATTTTTCCAGTTTTTTAGTAATTTTTTCCCTGTGATTTTCTACGGCGCCATAACAAAATGCAAATCATTTTTAGAGCATTTTTAGAGCAATCCGCTTCGCTTTTCAGACCCTTCGAGACATACTATTATACCGGGATGATCATCGCCATTCCCCTGACCATCTTCATCACCGTCCTTGCCTGCGTGTACTTCGGAATTGCGAAAAGGGCCGAGACGCTTGAGGGTTCTGGTGGGGTTTAACTCATAGAGAGAGAGCGAGAGAGAGAGTGAGTGAAAGAGAGAGATAGAGACAGAGAGAGCGCGAGAGAGAGAGAGAGTGAGAGGGAGCGAGCGAGAGCTAGAAAGAGAGAGTACACGCTTTACAGAGCGCGCCACTTCCAACTCTGATGACCCGTCGGACCCGCCGACTGCCTCTGAAAAAGCCCCCGAGACGACGCCAGCTTGATGGTGCATCCGGGTCGAAGAATTAGACAACTTTCCCGGGTTACTCTGGTGTTCTGGAATAAATATGAAAAAGCGGGTGTTGCTGGAAAAAGTTATTCTGAAGGATTTCTGCTAGTCAGCCTCTCTCTCCATTTCTCTCTCTCTCTCTCTCTCTCTCTCTCTCTCTCCCTCTCTCTCTCTCCCCTCTCTCGCTGCTAGATTGCATCGATGGCAATTTGCATTCTGGCGTATTCTAAAATTCAAAATTCGTTTTTGCGCACTTTTCCGAGGTTCATGCACCTGCTCGGCTTCTTCCTGCTGCTTTTGACAGCCACAGATGGTGGGCAGGCTAGCAGAGATCATTTTCGAAGCGCGACACCGTTCCTTTCAGGTGCCATCTTCTACTGCAGCGTCACCGAGCCGCCGATCGCCAAGAACAAAAATCCCCGACCGTGCCACATCCATGCCGACGACTTCAAGTGGGTTTTCAAAAATGATTAACTTTATCATTTCTTAGCTCATCTCCGGACCGGGATAGCCGCGTCTTCTTCAGCGAGATATTCGAACTCCAGGACAATGAATTCCGCTACGGTAATTTTCCCCAAATGATCTCTGCTAGCCTGCCCCCTCCTCCTCTCTCTCATCCCAAATGATCTCTGCTAGCCTGCCCCCTCCCCCTCTCTCTCATCCCAAATGATCTCTGCTAGCCTGCCCCTCCCCTCTCTCTCATCCCAAATGATCTCTGCTAGCCTGCCCCTCCTCCTCTCTCTCATCCCAAATGATCTCTGCTAGCCTGCCCCCTCCCCCTCTCTCTCATCCCAAATGATCTCTGCTAGCCTGCCCCCCCTCTCTCTCATCCCAAATGATCTCTGCTAGCCTGCCCCCTCCCCCTCTCCCTCATCCCAAATAATCTCTGCTAGCTTGCCGGCCTCGAATTCCTAGGTATTTACAGTATGCGACGAGCCGTCGGTGATGTGCTTCTCGGTGACGACGCGAAACGGAAGTGACGCTGGCTGTTACGAGACGAGCACCGTCGTGCGGGACGACGAGTGCGAGTGCAGTACGTAACTTGTACTGCTCCGTAACTGCTCCGTACTGTAAGTTTAGCCCTATAGCCGTTACCTATACCCGGATATAATTCGAATCTTTAGAAGGATCCGGCCCCGGCGTCGCCCCGAAGAAGCTGATTTCTGGTACGTCACCGAACGCCTTGAAAAAAACGGCAATTTAGCCGACCCCCAGCTCGCCAAGCTGTTCATCGGCATCGTCTCATTGGGGAAGAAGAAAAAGCGGCCGGTTCGTTTCAAGCCTAAGCCAAGCCTGAGCCAAGCCTAAGCCAAGACTAAGCCAAGCCTAAGCCAAGACTAAGCCAAGCCTAAGCCAAGCCTAAGCCAAGCCTAAGCCAAGCCTAAGCCAAGCCTAAGCCAAGCCTAAGCCAAGCACAAGCCAAGCCTAAGCCAAGCCTAAGCCTGACTGACTTCAGAACGCGACAAAGTGCTCGGAGTCCAACTACATTGGCTACGTCGACGCCGACATGGACGTCAAGCCGGTAGCTCTCGCAGCGTTTTCGGGACTCGATGTTTAGCCTCCCCCGGCCACGCGTAAGCCCTCCGGAAATCCACAAAATCCAGGGCAACCCGACGGCAAGGAGTGGGTCCATTTTGGAGCTTGAGCATTATCGGGGGGGGGGGGTATATATATTAGTGTTTTTTAGTAAAATTTCATTCTATTTGAAGTGGAAAACGATCTAAAACATTCGGAACACCCCCCCCCCCGATAATGCCAAAGGAGAAAAACTTATTTTCAGTGGTAAACCTGGCGAGACGACGGGACCGGCGGGCGACTCCGTTACTCCGGATGAGAAGCAGTAGGTTTTTCGGCTTAATGGCAGGCTAGCAGAGATTCTTTGAGGAATTCCTTACTTTCAGGGAGCCGCTGAAATACGTGCTCATCGGTCTGCCCCTCCTCATCCTGCTCATCATCGCCTCGTGCGTGGCCATCTACTGTTGGCTGAAGAAGCGGAAGCCGCCCGTCCATGCCAAGACGCCCAAAACACCAAGTGGGTCGAATTCCGCAAAGAATCACTGCTAGCCTGCCGCTAGTTAGAGAGAGGCGGGAGACGGGTAGCGAGAGACAGGGAGAAAGAGAGCGAGAGCGAGACAGAGAAATAGAGAGAGAGAGGGAGAGCGAGAGCGAGAGATAGAGAGAAAGAGAGAGAGAGAGATAGAGAGAGAGTGAGAGAGAATGATAGAGAGTGAGAGAAAGCGAGAGAGAGCGTGAGAGAGCGAGAGAGAGAGAGAGAGAGAGAGAGAGCGCGCGAGAGAGAGCAACGCCTCCCTTTTCCAGACTCGACCACCTCGAACTCGAAGAGTCCCGGTGCGCCGCCCTCGAAAACCCGCTGATCGATTTTCCTCATATAGTTCACGATTGTCTTTGTGTTACACGAATTGCACAGCTGTCTCCAGAAATAAATTGTTATTTCCATATCGATACCATTTACATACCTAAAAAATTTAATATTCCAATTTTCACGTTAAAAAAATACATTTTCACCCCCAAAAACTACCCGGCCGATGATGGATGATGCGCCGGAAAATGAGGACGACTCATCGTGGGTTACCAGGGATTTTAGAGCAACGGGGACTGGACTGTTAGCGGGGGGGGGGGCTGCGATTTTTATGATAATTTTTTCTAGCCTCCAAGTCGTCGTCTTCGGCGCCCACCTGGTGCTGATCGTGCTTTCTGGCGTATTCGCGTTGGTCAACTTCTTGGCATGTCTCTCGGCGAAAAGGTGGATTTCTCAAATGATCACTGCTAGCCTGCCCTTCCCAAAGAATCTCTGCTAGCCTACCCCTTTCATTTCAGACGTCTCCGCCTGCAGCCCCACCCCTCGGCTCCCTCCTTCTTCGCGTTGGCCCCCCTTCCGATCAACTACCGACTCGTGTACCCCATCAAGCGCCACATCCGAGTCGGCCACCGAATAACCAGCTGAACGTCTTCAATTCGTTCCGATCCGATCGACGATTCCGATCATTTATTATTTGTGCTATTGTCTTTTGAATAAATGAATTAATCATAAATAGAGAGAGAGGCAGAGAGGGAGAGAAAGAGAGAGAGAGAGAGAGCGAAACAGAGAGAGATAGAGAGCGACAGCAGTAGTTAACAACAGTTTTAACGCTCACACTTATTACAAATCCTACTATATATAAAAAATAGTGTTTGTGTGTGTGTGTGTGTGTGCCACTTTGCATCCACTTCCGTCTGTCTTTCCGGAGGATATCTCGCTAGGGGATGAATCTTAAAGTACGTATGATACGTCATTAGGTGCGCAATGGTCTGGAGATGACTGCACGCATTTTAGATTCAACAAAATCACCTATTTTCGACATTAAATTTAGGTTTTTGTGAAAACTTCTTTGTTAGGTATAATTAGCATAGACCGGAAGTGGGGATTCGGCTATATAACGGATGGGAGAGGTTGTTTTTCATTTTTTGTCGTTTGCAATTGCAGGACAATTATGCAAACTGAAGGATAAAATGGGGTCAGACGGGACCAGGGTTGAAAAGTCGCGAAGCGGCATTTCAACCCTGGTTCCATTTAAAACAGTTACAAACCTTAAAAACATGTTTCAAAAAATCACTCGTTCCCGGAAATTTCTACGACTTTAATAGGTGTCGATTAAAGTGTTCGCCATTATGAGTTTCGGGATTTAAAAACAAAACCCCTTGAAAAACGGGAAAAATCGCTCTGCTTTTTTCTCTCTTTTCTTCGACTTTTCTCAAAGAATGGCCCAGAATTTGCAAATACTTGCATTTTCAAGTTCGAGTAGGGTCAGGAATGCATGCGGCGCGGTCGCGTTGCGGCCAAAACTGGACATTTGCCAGGAATCGAGGACGGAGAGGGGGCGGGGGGGGGGGTGGATCAATCATCCTGGAGCCATTAAGATACGCTGGTCCGCCTTAACATCCCTTTTCCATAGATTTAGTGCTCATGTTAATTAAAAATTGTCAAACTTACAAAAACAAGTTTCAAAAAATCACGGCGGGGCGATCGCATTGTGGTCGTATCTTCTTGGTCTCTTAAGAATACGCTGGTGGCCGCTCCACGATCAAGATCTAATGCTCATGCTCAATCGAAAAAAACGAATCAAAGTTACGAAAACATGTTTCAAAAAATTTCTGGTTCCGGAAGCTTTAACGAGGTTGATAGATGTTTCACAGTGGATGGTAAAATCCAGGAAAATCAGGCGTTAATCAAGGAAAATTTTTCGAATTTCCGATTTCTCCTGCATCATTTTTACCTCCAAATTGGTAAGTCATATCGCGGCCGTATCTGGCTATTTTCCAGGAATTGAGTCGTCAATCAAACTTCCTAGCCCCTTTATGAAAGGCTGGTGGCCGCTCAAGCATCCGCTCAACGAGCTAATGCCCATGCTCAATAAAAAAATCAAATTTACGAAAGAATGTTTCAAAAAAATTATGGTTCCGGAAACTTTTAACGAGGTTAATGCCTTCGACCAATTAATGCCCTTGAAAACCCTCGGAAAAAACCTCGGAACCCTCAAATTTGACCTCAGAAACTTCAATTCCTTGCCGTTTCGCGTCGCGGCCTCATCTGGCTATTTGCCAGGAAGCGGGGCTCAGGAGGTATGGATCAGGCTTGTTGGTCTTTTAGGCTGGGCTAGTCGCCGCTTTACCATCAATTTTTGAGAGATTTGCTGCTCATCTTGATCAAAGAACTTCAATCACGCAAAAAACATGTTTCAAAAATCAGTGGTTCCGGCAGGCTTTGACGAGATTAATAACTGGAATTAAGAACTCTAAAGTTGCGACAGTAATTTTCTCAAAGAAAGGCCTCAGAATCTAGGTATAAACTCATATGGGTATGCTTATTGGTCCCTTAAGATTCGATGGTGGCCGCTCCACGAACAAGATAAAAAATCAATCTCATCCTCAATCAAAAAAAAAAATGAAATTTACGAAAAGCTGTCTCAAAAAATCAGTGGTTCCAGAAGAGGCTTCTTGGTCTTTTAGGCTAGGCTGGTCACCGATTTACCATGAAGTTTTGAGAGATTTAAGGCTCATCATGATCAAAAATTTCGATCACACAAAAACATGTTTCAAAAAAATTATTGGTTCCGCAAAATTCCCGTGAGATTCATGCTGCTCGGCAAAAATCCTCGACGAATTTTCTAAAACAGTCCTCAGAATTTTCCATTTCTTGCATTTTCACCTCCAAATTGGGACAGGAGCACATGCGTTGCAGCCGCATCTGGCTATTTGCCAGGAATCAGCGCGAAGCGGGGCCGAGACGGGCTTCCTGGACCCTTTAAAGTTCAAGTCGGCGGTTTCCCTGCTTCATTTCGCTCTCCATTCTCTAAGGTAAGACTCTTTAAAATTAAAAAAAAAAAAAACTCTATAAAATTCCCATGAAAAGCCATTTATTCCACTCGAGACAATGAAACGGAAAATACAATACGATACGATACAAAACACGGAGTTGTCGGAAATAGGGGGGCGTATCGATTCGTTCACGGCTTCTTTGGCTTCTTGCCACTGCGCCTGGGGCTCGGGGAGATGTCGCGTGTCTTGTCCTTTGACGTCGGGAAATTCTGGAAATTGCAGAAATTTTTGATAGAGCCACAGAGAGCGAGAGAGAGCGCGATAGCGAAAGAGAAAGAGAGAGCCCCGACCATCGGGTAATCGTGCTGCTGGGTGCACTCCTTCGACGGGACGGCGCTGCTGCTGCGCGCGTTTCGAGAGTCGACAGGGCGCTTCTTCTCCTACAAACGTACGCCTTGCTGTCACTGCCCCTTTAATCTGACCTTGCTGAGCTTGTTGCGGTTGCGACGGGCGCTCTGGTCGGTCTGCTGACGGCTCTCGGCCGTCCGGTCATCTCCAGCGGTGCGAGTGTTGTCGCGCTTGCGACGGTCTCCGCGTGAGCGGGAGCGCGAGCGCGTGCCGCTGTCGTCTTCCTGGAAAAATTGGAGCTAAAGGGTCTTTGCTAGCTTGCCGTCTCCCAGATGATCTCTGCCAGCCTGCCCTACCCTCTCGGTTTTGCTGCGCGTCGCGTCGCGCGAGCGGCGATCGCCCTTCTTCCCGCCCTCCTTCGACTGTTTCCTGCGCTTCCCGGCCTTCGGTTTTCCGCTTCCGCTTCGGCTCTTATTCTTGCGCTTCGGGCTGGGGCTCTGGGCACGGGAGACGGGCTGGGCGACGGACTGAAAAAAAATTAGAAAATCTAGTTTTTAATCGTATTTAGACCCAAATTCGAATTTCCTCAGGGATCTCTGCTAGCATGCCTCTATAATTCCGGAAAGCATCTCTGCTAGCCCACCACTTGGCTGCCCGTCGTCGTGCCAAGAGTCCAGTCCTCCGGATTCTCGTAGTCCTTCTTCAGGAAGTTCTTCTTCTGCTGGCCGACGCTGGCGGCACGCGACGCGTCCGCTCGGCTCGGCGCCTCAGCCGACTTGCTCTTCGACTTTCTACCTCCACCACCGGACTTCTTCGCCTTGCGGTTCAGCGTCTGCGACTCGGACGCGACCATCTGAAGGTGGGAATCAATGGATTTTTTGGTTTCACTGGTCCTTTAAACGGACGGGCAAGGCAGAAAACTCCCTAAAGAATCGATAGCCTCGCCTTGCCAATCCCTTTAAAGTTTTCAAACTACCGTACCCGCGAAGCGGCGAGATTGCTCGGCTTCTTCCGGCCCTTCTGGTCCTTGTTGAGGCTGGGCTGAAAATACCGAAATTTCCTCAGGAATCGCTGCTAGCCTGCCCCATCCATTCCTCAAAGAATCTCTGCCAGCCCTCCACCAACCACAAGCCGTTCGGTGAGCGCCTGGAGCGGGCGCTTGCGCGGCTCGCTGGCGCGGCTGTTGTTCGGATCGGACGCTCGGCTGTCCGACTGGGAACCGGATTTGGAGGCCGACGAGCGCAAGCCGTTCAGTGAGTCGGTCCGGGGGAGGGCTGCGGGCTTGTTGTGCTTCGACGGGAGTAGCCGCTTCCAGCCCTGAAAAGACAAATGGTGTTTGCTAGCCTGCCCCCTCCCCTCTCTCATCCCAAATGATCTCTGCTAGCCCCCACCTTCGGCTTCCTGACGTCCCGACTGTTGCTGACCGACGCCGTGGAGTTGCTGCGAGACAACGACTCGCGCTCCGGGTCCACCCTCGTCTTCTCCAGCTCATTCATCCGCTTCCGGTAGATCTTGGCCGAGACGACGAGCAGGGCGAGGAGGATACAGATCATGATCACGTGGCCGAGCACCGACGCGAACAGGGGCAACCTGGCAGAGATCATTTGGGATGAGAGGGAGGGAGAGGGGCAGGCTAGCAGAAATCATTTGGGATGAGAGAGAGGGGTGGGGGCAGGCTAGCAGAAATCATTTGAGAAAGTACCCACATATCTTGCGACTTCTTCTTTTTCCCCTTGGGACCCTGAGCAGGAGCAGGTGCCGGCCGGGTGAAGACGAGCTGATCACAGTAGGCCTGCTCCACGGCGTCGCCCGCCCCGTCGATGTACTTCTGGTGGAGGGTGCGCAGGGTGATGCTAACTGTAAACAACGAGTTCAAGGAGTGAACAAGTTTCCCCGATGATCTCTGCTAGCCCACCATTTGTAGTGGGCGCATGAGGATCGGTCACGCCGGACGGCCCTTCGTTAAATTCTGGAAAAGGTATAGAAATTCTTAAGTATCGTAAAAAACTAACCACATGGGCACTTCGGCTCGGCCGTCCTCTTGTACGTCCTGTAGCAGCCGGGTTGAGCATCTACTCGGTCGCGTAGCAGCAGGCAGTACGTCTCGCCGGGCTGGGGGCAGACTGAAGATAAATAATTTCAGCTAGCCTGCCCCTCCATTCCTCAAAGAATCTCTGCTAGCCTGCGCCTCCATTCCTCAAAGAATTTCTGCTAGCCTGCCCCTCCATTCCTCAAAGAATCTCTGCTAGCCTGCCCCTCCATTCCTCAAAGAATCTCTGCTAGCCTGCCCCTCCATTCCTCAAAGAATCTCTGCAAGCCTGCCCCTCCATTCCTCAAAGAATCTCTGCTAGCCTGCCCTGTCCATTCCTCAAAGAATCTCTGTAGCCTGCCCCTCCATTCCTCAAAGAATCTCTGCTAGCCTGCCCCTCCATTCCTCAAAGAATCTCTGCTAGCCTGCCCCGTCCATTCCTCAAAGAATCTCTGCTAGCCTGCCCCCTCCATTCCTCAAAGAATCTCTGCTAGCCACCCACCATACACGACCTCGATGTCCCCATCAGCCTTGTTGATGTGTTCGTTGAAGGCGTCTCCACCAGATTCCGGTGCCGCAGCTTTACACGGCGGCTTCACGGACGGGTCGTACGGGTTCCCGTCGACGGCGCATCGGAATTTGCCCTAAATTGGGGTCGCGGATCGATATCGTTGTAGCATTTGTACCACGGCAACAGGGTAATGGCCTGGGAAAAGGTCGACGATCAGGACGATCCAAAATAAGGGGTGTCGCATCCGACCGAGTGGGAAGGTGAAGGGTTGGAAAATACAGGCAAAGTGAGTTTTAGGCAAAATTGACTGGCATGCAAATTACGACAACCCGGCTCAAGAGTACAAAATGGGCTGTTCGCCCTCTGCTACCTGGGGCCAGACATCTCAAGGAGAGTGCTTCGACTACTTACCATACCTACAGTAGCAGCGCGTACTCCTGGTAATTCCTGACGCGAGACGCAGTGCACGGATGATGGATGGTGTGTGACCAATGGCAGAGAATCCTGGTTCTGTATCCCTGGTCGCCAAGCTTACGGAAGGTGTGCGTACTGATAGAGTTTACAAGTGACAGGTGTAGTCTAGGGGGACCTACTGTAATAATTCGTAGCGTCGGGGTATGTACGGTGCTACTTTTGGGAGGACAGAAGATATGCGAGTATACGGCGTGAGGAGATACTGTACGAGAGCGTACGTGGCGCAGGTGCATGCTGAAAAATTTCGGACATGGACATCAGAGACCGTTGAGTGCGATGCGAGGGTGTACGGTAAGAGTATGGGTAGTGTTCGGGTTTTCACGTGGTCTCCGTATTATTACGATTTAGGTATCTATCGAAAGCTCTCGACGAGCTGAGGGGATAGGTTCTTTCCGATTTTCGAAATTCCGGAATTTTTAACCCGATTTTCCTCATTTTTAGGCCCAAATCACGCAATTTTGGTCCAAAAACTCAATTTAAGCGGTTTCAGTCCTATTCAAGCCTTTTTTCTCAAATGCATTGCAGAAAGCCGACCCTGGGCTGCCAGGAAAGATGTAAAAAATTGGAAAATGGGGTTTTTGTTAAAGCACTTGCATAGGAAAAAGCATCGGAAATTCAGCCAATTTGACAAAAATGTTAGTAAATGTCATAAAATTCGGGAATTTCGAAAATCGGAAAGAACATTCTCCTTAGCTCGTCGAGAGCTTTCGATGGATACCTAAATCGTCAAAATCGGACCTCACTGCCGACCGCTAGAGGGGGGGTCTTTTTTTTGGGACACCCTGTCGTTGCGTACGGTACGAGGGTTCTGGTTGTGGATCTCAAGAACACCCGCCCCCAAGTTTGGGATGTTACGCACACGGGCGCCAAAAGCGCGAACTCGTACAAGATACTGAGCTCTCCACCCATAGGATAGTGACAATGCGACGCCACGTAATTTTTCCCGGTATATTTATTGGCAAAAACGCAAATAAAAAAACAAACACACATGGAATAGAATTGGTCACCGAATTTGCCACGCCCATCCAATCACAATAGAACAGATATGGATTGCAATTTTTTGAGGTTTTTTGCCGGGCTTTTTAGGTGTGGGGCGTAGTGGTCGAGGGAGATCAGCAGGGCAGAGATGGGCGACGCGAAGGGCTAGCCTGAAAAAATATAGAAAAAGTGCGAAGCGAGAGAGATAGAGAGAGAGAGAGCGAGAGAGTGAGAGCGAGAGCGACAGAGTGAGGAAGAAAAATCAAAAGAAAAACAAAAACCTACCCCCAAAAAACCCAATAGTCTGATGATGGTGAACGTCTCGAAGAAGTGGCCGGCTTCTACAGCTCGGGGTGGCGTTGCGCATTTTGGGTTTTGCGCTGAAAAAATGGCTATTTAGGGGCACTAAGCTATTAACGGGGGAGGGACTTGCGCTTCGGCACTGACCTTCTTGATGGCCAGGTAGTCGGCGACGTGGTACTCGGTGATTTTCTGCGGCTTGGACTTCTTCGTCGCGTCGGGCTTGCATACCAGCTCGAACGGCTTGGTCATGTCGCGCTCCAGGCCCGGGTAGCAGGCGATCGTGTCGCCGTTTTGGCAGGGCACCGAGTGGAGCGGGCAGACTACAAAATGGGAGTGTGTGCCAGAGAGTAAGAGGGAGAGAGATAGGGAGAGAGGGAGAGTGAGAGGGAGAGAGGGGAGAGTGAGAGAGAGAGAGAGGGAGAGAGAGAGAGAGAGAGTGAGCGAGAGAGACCCACCATAAAACACTTTGTACTTGTCGAGGTCGTGCTTCACATATTCGTAGTACAAGGTGCGCTCGGCGCGTTGATGCGGTGTCGAGTCGACCTGGCAATGTGGCCACTCGGGCCCGAATCCCTTGCCGGTCGCCAAGCAGTACAGCGTTCGTTGGGACTGTAGGGTGTCGTCGGGTCGAATGGCGAGTTTCGCGCTTGGGCCGAGATCCTTGTAGAGCAGCATCATCTCCTGGCTGGCCGCTGAAAAGGGTAGTGAAGGAGGACGGCTATACCTCTAGGGCGTAGATTACCGCGAAGCGGTTTTTCAACCCTGGTTAAGCTGAAAATTGCACTTACCGGTTTCCAACGTGAGCCCCAGGCTTGCGTTCGACATCTTGCAGACGGGCGGTGAGCCGGTGACGGCCAGGCCGGTAGAGTTGTAGCATCCGGGCAGTCCGTTCGGCTCGGTCTCCGCGCAGAACGTCTGGGTCGCGTTGCAGCCTACAAGAAGGTGATTTTGAAAATATCACCCTATATATCTCTCTCACTCTCACTCTTACTCTCTCGCTCATTCTCGCTCTCTCGCTCCCTCTCGCGCTCTCGCTCCCTCTCACTCTCATTCTCTCTCCCTCTCTCTCTCGCTTTCTCTCTCACTCTCACTCTCTCTCGCTCTCACGACTGGCTATCTCTCACTCTCACTCTCTCTCGCTTACGCGCTCTCTCTCACCCTCTCTCGCTCGCTCCCTATCTTTCTCACTCTCTCTCTATATCACTCTATCTCGCTCTCTCTCCCTCTCTCCCTCTCTCGCTCTCTCTTGCTCTCTCCCCCGCCCACTCTCGCTCCCACTCTTTCTCACTCTCCCTCTATCACTCTCTCCGCTTCTCTCTCTCTCTTTCTCTCTCACCCTCTCTCACCATAGTAGACGTGATGCCACAAGTTCGGCTCGTTTTTGATGACCTCCTCGGCGGCAATGGCAGCACCTTCCGGCGGTTTGTCGGCCAGATATTGGCAGCCCGAGTCCACGTCGTACGGTACACCACCCACGCTGCACCAGGCTTTCCACTATAACAAAATTAATACGATTTAGATACCAGCCCCCCACCCCCGCTAAGGGTCCAGTACCTTGGAGAACAAGTAGGGCGAACGTTGGACGGTAAAGCTGCGGCCACATTTCAGCTCGGCTCCGTTGGTCCGCTGCGCCTTGCTGTAGTAGTCCATGGCGGCGAGGAGCTCGGGGCTGGCTGGAAAAGGGGCGGCGGCTTCATCAAGAAGTACCGGCAACGTACCTGATTCTTTGAGCGTCGTATTCTCGTTTGCCGAGTCTGAAAATAGGGTTGATTTTGGGGTGGTAGATGAACTTACTGCAAGTACACGGCGACGGGCTGGAGACGTCGCTGTAGCAGCCGGGGCCCAGCCACCAGTCGGCAGACAGTGCGCTCGACAGGCAGAACGCCTCGTTCGGTCCGCGGCAGGCTGAAAATGAGCTCGAGCTTCAGGAGATTGAGCCAAGCCAAAGCCAAGCCTAAGCCAAGCCTAAGCCAAGCCTATCCCAAGCCTAAGCCAAGCCTAAGCCAAGCCTAAGCCAAGCCTAAGCCAAGCCTAAGACAAGCCTAAGCCAAGCCTAAGCCAAGCCTAAGCCAAGCCTAAGCCAAGCCTAAGACAAGCCTAAGCCAAGCCTAAGCCAAGCCTATCCCAAGCCTAAGCCAAGCCTAAGTCAAGCCTAAGCCAAGCCTAAGCCAAACCTAAGCCAAGCCTAAGCCAAGCTTAAGCAAAGCCTAAGCCAAGCCTAAGTCAAGCCTAAGCCAAGCCAAGCCTAACCCAAGCCTAAGACAAGCCTAAGCCAAGCCTAAGACAAGCCTAAGTCAAGCCTAAGCCTAAGACAAGCCTAAGCCAAGCCTAAGCCAAGCCTAAGCCAAGCCTATCCCAAGCCTAAGCCAAGCTTAAGTCAAGCCTAAGCCAAGCCTACGCCAAACCTAAGCCAAGCCTAAGCCAAGCCTAAGCAAAGCCTAAGCCAAGCCTAAGTCAAGCCTAAGCCAAGCCAAGCCTAACCCAAGCCTAAGCCAAGCCTAAGCCAAGCCTAAGCCAAGCCTAAGCCAAGCCTAAGTCAAGCCTAAGCCAAGCCAAGCCTAAGCCAAGCCTAATCCAAGCCTAAGCCAATCCTAAGCCAAGCCAGCTTACCATAAACGACGTTGTAGGAGTAAGCCTTGGCTGTGGCGGGGATTTGTTCGATGAAAGCGATCCGGTCGTCGCTAATCTCGCCCTGGGCGGGCTTGTTGAACGACGTGCAGCCGTCCTTCTGTTTCGTTGACCACAGTCGTGTCGGGGTGCAGTAGTGGACGAGGTTCTGGAAAGGGTATACTTATCGTTAAGTTACAAAAGTAGCGTAGAAAAGCCACATCTCAAAAAATTTTTTTTTTGCGCCAAAAGGTGGTTTTAAGGCGCATGGCAATTACATGCCGTAATGCCCTCCCCCAGCGCCCGATTCATCGATATCGGTGATTTCCGGGTCAATTTTTAAGGTGAAAACGGCTAAAACTATCAAAAATTTCCAAGGATTTCGAATCTGGCGTCAAAATTTGGAATTTCACGTGCTTTGACGTCCGCACGAAGTGATGTTGCGTAAGTTCAGGCCCCGGCCAACCCCTACGCCTGTATCTTAGCTCCCGTGGTGCTACGGGGGTACCAAGTATACGAAAATATGCGCCTTGGCCTGAGGAGTATTTTGGTATGCTTTGCATGAAAATAGAGCTTTAAGGCGCGCGGCTATTACATGGCGTAATGACGCCAACTCCCACACATGTATCTCAGCTCCTCGTCATGTTACAGGTGCGTAAAATATACCAAAATGTGCGCCTTGGCCTGGGGAATATTTTGGTATACTTTATAGCCCAGTAGCACATCATCGAGCTGAGCTACAACAGTCGGAAGCCCGGGAAGTTACACGCGTCGCGTTCCGCGGTCGTACAATAGGCGAACTTCCTGTCGTGCTACAAAGCTCTAAAATATGCCAAAATATGCGCCTTGGCCTGGGGAGTATTTTGGTATACTTCACGGCCCTGTAGCACATCATCGAGCCGAGCCACAACAGTTGGAAGCCCCAGGAAGTTCCACGCGTCGCGCGCCGCGGCCGAACCATACGCCCAATTTTCCGTCATGCTACAGGTGCGTAAAATATACCAAAATGTGCGTCTTGCCCCGGGGAGTATTTTGGTATACTTTACGGTCCAGTAGCACACCATCGAGCCGAGCTACAACAGTTGGAAGCCCCGGGAAGTTCCACGCGTCGCGTGTCGCGGCCGAACCAGAGGCAATCGAATCACCGATCATACCCTGTAGTATGGCACGGCGGGGATGTAGTCGCGCACGCCGCACAGCGCCAGAGTGTAGTTGGCCTGGCAGGGGTACTTCAGCTGGTCGCCGTACCGCTTGAGGAGCTCCCACATGTAGAGGCCGGCTGTAGGAAAGAGGGTAATTTCAGGGGGACATTTCTCGTGATACCCGTCGGCTTGTCGAGTCGCTTCGGCGAGTCCGACAGCTTCGCTAAAAACAGATTGAACAGTCAAGTGCCCAGGAGAAGACATACCCCCCGCTAACAGACAAGCCCCAATATACCGCCTGTCCTACCGCATTTAAATTCTGGTGCCGGTGCCGTGCCGGTTCTCTTCACTTCCGACGTCGAGTAGCAGCCCGGGGGGTCGATTCCTTCGATCTGATCCTCAGAGCAGTAGATCTGCGAATCCGGGCATGCTAAAGAGGATAGGTAGGGAGAGAGAGAGAGAGAGAGAGAGAGAGAGAGAGAGAGAGAGAGAAGATAGAGACCTACAGAGAGAGAAAGAGAGAATGAGGGTAAGAGAGAGCGAGATATACAGACCGACAGAGAGAGAGGTAAGAGAGAGACAGAGAAAGAGAGAGAGGGTAAGAGAGTGATATAGAGACCAACAGAGAGAGAGAGAAAGAGAGAGAGGGTAAGAGGGCGAGCGAGAGAGAGAGAGCGTGAGAGAAAGAGTGATAGAGAGAGATAGAGAGAGACAGATATAGAGAAAAAGAAAGGGATAGAGAGACAGAGAGAGAGAGAGAGGGAGAGAGAGAGAGAGAGAGATAGAGAGAGACCTACCATAGAAGATGGTAAGCTTGTGGTTGGCGCCGGGCGGTTTGATCTGCTCAGTCAGCACCAAAGCCTTGTCGCCGAGCCCGGTTGCCTCATCGTGAAGGGCGATCTTGTTGCCAAGGGCGTATGGCGCGAACGGACCCGCGTTCATCTGGTAGACGTACGACAACTGGAAGCAGGACAGTAGGGGTATTGAAACCTTTAATCTAACCTCAAGCACCTCATCGGCGCTGCGCTTCACGAAGAGCCTGGCGCCGCAGGCCGGCTCGTCTTGCTTCACCGTCTGGAATGAGCAGTCGTTGCGCGAATTTCGGGACTGAGTTGTTAGCGGGGGGGGGGAAGCAGAAGTTGATCTTAACAACTTTAAAAGCATCCACCTTTGTAAGAGCCTTGAAACGCTCCAGCGCAGCATCGCGCATCGTGGCGCTGATCATCGACACCAAAGTGCCGCTATTGCCTAGAATTAAGGGATGAGTATACGAGGGACTTTATGAGCTTACAAGCTAAGCCTAAGCCAAGCCTAAGCCAAGCCTAAGCCAAGCCTAAGCCAAGCCTAAGCCAAGCCTAAGCCAAGCCTAAGCCAAGCCTAAGCCAAGCCTAAGCCAAGCCTAAGCCAAGCCTAAGCCAAGCCTAAGCCAAGCCTAAGCCAAGCCTAAGCCAAGCCTAAGCCAAGCCTAAGCCAAACCTAAGCCAAGCCTAAGCCAAGCCTAAGCCAAGCCTAAGCCAAGCCTAAGCCAAGCCTAAGCCAAGCCTAAGCCAAGCCTAAGCCAAACCTAAGCCAAGTCTAAGCCAAGCCTAACCCAAGTCTAAGCCACGTCTAAGCAAAGCCTAAGCCAAGCCTAAGCCCGAGCCTTACCGCAGCGACAGTTGTTGAGTTCGTCCTCTTTCCGTTTCTGCGGATCGCGGTCATGGTGGCCGACGCGCATTGTGTTTTTGTAGCAGCCCGCGCTCTTGCCATCGTCAGCGAGGCAGAACACCTGGTCGGTGCCCGGGCAGGCTGAAATTGGGGTGATTGTAATGGCTACAACAACCCCCATCTACCGTATCTGACGTGCTCGCGGTGGCCGTTGTTGTGCTCGACGATCTCGTTGTAGAAGATGCGTGGGCTGTCCGGCTCGATGGCGGGCCTGTTGTGCCGGCCGCAGCCGTAGCCGCCCGGCAGCCACGGGTCAGCCAGAGCGGTGCAATCGACGGGTAGCTGAAGTGGAAGGTTAACACTCCAGATCCCCCCCCAGCCACCCCCAACTACCGTATCTCGGCTCCCTGTTCATCTACAGGTGTGTAAAGTATACCAATATGTTCGTCTTGCTCTGGCGAGTATTTTGGTATACTTTACACACCTGTAGATCAACAGGGAGCAGAGATACGGTAGGTGGAAGTCGGCTAGGGGGAGTACACTGCACTTAAGCCCGCAGCCATACCGAGAATCGGGACGGCTGCTCGAGCGGGGTGGCGCCGGCGAGCAGTCCTTGACGGTGGGGGCACATCCGCAGGTCCTGGAAAAGGAGTTGTTGAGGTACTCGTACAGCAGTAGATACCCTCGGGGACTTGACGATCTCGACGAGGACGTGGTGGAAGTTCTTGACGAGGTCGGCACGTACGGTCGGGTAGCGGCGGCAGGTGCAGTGCTGAAAGAACGGAAGTTCCGACGAAGCTTAGGCTTGGCTTAGGCTTGGCTTAGGCTTGGCTTAGGCTTGGCTTAGGCTTGGCTTAGGCTTGGCTTAGGCTTGGCTTAGGCTTGGCTTAGGCTTGGCTTAGGCTTGGCTTAGGCTTGGCTTAGGCTTGGCTTAGGCTTGGCTTAGGCTTGGCTTAGGCTTGGCTTAGGCTTGGCTTAGGCATGGCTTAGGCATGGCTTAGGCATGGCTTAGGCATGGCTTAGGCTTGGCTTAGGCTTGGCTTAAGCCTATACCTGCTCGTCGGTCTGCTTCCACTCGATGGTCTGGTAGTGGTAGCAGCCGGCGTACCACAGGTTGACTTCCCCATCTATGCTGAAGCAGGCAACGGACCGCGGGGGGCACAGCACTGAAAAAAGAGATGTATCTCGGGGGTCCGTGTGAACTGCTCGAACTTGTCCAATTTAAAAAGCAAGCTTTTTGCCCTGTGGCGCCGTATGAACTGCTACAACTCGTCGGAGGCCACTCACCAACCAATACCGGTCCATCAGCCGAGGCTTGCTTGGTGAAGATGACGCGGCGGAGGTAGTTGGGTTCATCGGGCACGGGTGGGCAGTTGGCCAGCTTCTCTTGCTCCATCTGTTGCAGCGAGCAGAACTTGTACTCCACTGAAAATGGATGATTGACAGAGGCACAGAGAGGGAGCGAGAGCGAGAGAGAGAGAGCGAGAGAGTGAGAACGAGAGTGAGAGAGTGAGAAAGTGAGCGAGAGCCAAGGAGAGAGAGCGGGAGAGAGACAGAGAGAGAGCGAGAGCGAGAGACAGTGAGAGACAGTGAGCGAGAGCCAGGGAGAGAGCGGGAGAGAGACAGAGAGAGAGCGAGAGCGAGAGCCAGGGAGAGAGCGGGAGAGAGAGAGAGAGAGAGAGAGAGAGAGAGAGAGAGAGAGAGACCCACATGGCTTGACAACGTCTTGACCGGCAGTGGCTCCAAGGAGCAGCACAGCGAGGAGAAGGGAGAGCAGGTGATGGGAGCAGCCCATGAAGCCGAACGCCATCAGCAAGGAGGTACAGAAATGCCCATTTTTCGAAGCAATTTTCGAGCTGAGCAGCAACCGGAAGATAATTTCAATTGCAGATGCTAATCCCACTTCCAAATTCTGAGCTGTAGATGATTTCCTTAGAAACTCCACTCGCTGCCCCCCCCCCCCGACTTCTTCAACAAGTAGAGCCTGTCCTCCTCGCTGACGTCGAGAGCACCTGCCCTTCTTCGTGTCGTCGGAACTTGCTGGAAATGAGTGGCAATCAAGTCACCGTATTGCAATTTGCTGTTTGGAGATCTCTCTGCAACCATTTGGAGATCTCTCTCTGTCGCTCTCTCACTCTCTCACTCTCACTGTCACTATCACTCCCTCGCTCTCTCTCCCTCTCTCTCTCTCTCTCTCTCTCTCTCTCTCTCTCTCTCTCTCTCTCTCTCTCTCTCTCCCTCTCTCTCTCTCCCTCTCTCCCTCTCTCCCTCTCTCTCTCTCTTTCTCTTTCTCTCTCTCTAACGCTCTTTCTCTCTCTTTCTCTCTCTTTTTTTCTCTGTCTTTCTCTATCTCTCTCTCTATCTCTCTCTCTCTCTCTCTCTCTCTCTCTCTCTCTCTCTTTCTTGCTCTCTCTCTCGTCGAAAAATCTTTATTCTTTAGCCACAGGCAATACAATAAATCAGAAAAACACACGCGGGGCATCGGGATGAGAAATGTTACTTGGACTAGCAGAAACTGAAGAGAGACATGCAAAAAATACAATAGCAAAGAAAACGGAGCCAGAGGAAGCGGTAGGCTAGCAGGGATTCTTGAGGAGTCGACCCCGATCAGTACTTCCGGCGAGCCACCTCAATGACGGTGATCTGCGCTTCGCGATCTCACGCCTGTACAGCCAGTAGACGAGGACCGTCTGGAATGGAGGGCTTGGGCTTGGCTTAGGCTTGGCTTAGGCTTGGTTTAGGCTTGGCTTAGGCTTGGTTTAGGCTTGGCTTAGGCTTGGCTTAGGCATGGCTTAGGCTTGGCTTAGGCTTGGCTTAGGCTTGGCTTAGGCTTGGTTTAGGCTTGGCTTAGGCTTGGCTTAGGCTTGGCTTAGGCTTGGCTTAGGCCTGGCTTAGGCTTGGCTTAAGCACTCACAATGGCGACGCAGATGGGCAGCAGGATGCCGTGGAAGAAGAGGACCATGTGGAGACGTCTGAAAAAGGTCATTAAACTACAGGTATTCCAACAACTTGGAGCCGTTCAATAGCCGGTCTAGGCTACTGAAAGCAGAATGTTGAAAATCTGGAGCTTACGCATTATCGGGGGTGGGGAAGGAATCTTAAGATTATACACCTCAGCTTATCACCCACTCGTTAATCGCCTGCTGAGCAACCTCAGCCCTGCGAGCGGCGGCGAGCCGTCTGCGCTCGTCGGTCCCGCTCGACCTGGCGGCGTCGGTGCTCTCGGGTGGGGTGACGCCCGCCTTGCGCTTGTAGAGGGCGCTGCAGATGGCGCCGCGGGAATCCTAAAATGAGGGGCGGCTAGCACGAGTCGTTGGGGAAATCCCTAAGAAAATCTGCTAGCCGCCCCACTCGAATTCCTCCAAAAAATCTCTGCTAGCCTGCCCCTCCATTCCTCAAAGAATCTCTGCTAACCTGCCCTTAAATTCCTCAAAGAATCTCTGCTGGCCTGCCCCTCCATTCCTCAAAGAATCTCTGCTAGCTTGCCCCTCCATTCCTCAAAAATCTCTGCTGGCTCGCCTCTTTTTGGTACTTTTCCAGCCATTGGAGCAGCGCCTCGTTGAAGGGCACCGCCGGCTCGAGGTCGTAGTCATCACGGTCCACTGGAAAAAGTGGAATCTCTCTCTCATTATCTCTCTCTCTCCCTCTCTGTATCTCCCTCTCTCTCACTTACAAACACAGCTGCACGTCGCCAAGTCTCCGCGTTTCACTTGGTATTCCGCGTAGCAGCCGGGGTCGTAATATGTCGAGGACGGGCCGCTCAGCGTCTGGCAGTAGACCAGGTCCGGGCTCCCGCAACCTAGAAACAGCGACTTTAAAGGGGCCGGCGTGGCATCAGAATGAATTTTAGCGGCAGGTCGCGCACCGCGACGCACATAGGCTGACTGCGTCGAGTATCGCGCTGCGTATCGCGTCGTGTGCATCACTATTTATCGCGTGGCGTGTCGCGTTGCGTACCGCGTTGCGCTGCGCGGTAAATCCGTACTGCGTATTGCGTTGCGGTTCGCGGCAAATCCGTGCTGCCGATCGCGTTGCACGCGCGCACCCTGCAATTCGCCTCGCATCACGCTGCGTCCCCGGTTGCGCGTAGTTTTGCGGTGCGGGTCTTATAGTGTCTCGTCACGTCCCGTATCACATGTTGCTTGGCGCGTTGCGTTGCGTTGCGTCGCGTCGCATCCAGCCTGTTGGTGCGGTGCCTGCCGCGTTGTGGTACCTCGGTCGCGCGCGTTGCGTAGTGCGTCACGGGTCGCTGTGTCGCTATCGCATTGCGGATCGTGCTATTACGATACGTGTCGTGTTACGCGTCGCGTTGCGTCTTGCGTTGCGTCTTGCGTTCTATGAGCGTCGCGTGTCGCGCCTCTAGTTTTGCGTTGCGTGCCCAGATGCCCCTGCCAGCCTGTACCTACCGTAGCGGATCTGAAGACTGCCGGCACGATACGGGATCTCCTCGATCAGCGCGTCGATCTCCATGCCGGTCTCTGAATTCAAAGCTTGGGAAAAAATCAACCCGCTTACTATGATCCTCTCCCGTAAACGCGCAGCTCCCGGCGCGCCCCATCCGCCACGGATCGTGGCTGATCGGGCACAGGTGTTCCAACTGAAAAGTTCTGCTAGCCACCCTCCTCATTCCTCAAAGAATCTCTGCTAGCCTGCCCCTCCATTCCTCAAAGAATCTCTGCTAGCCTGCCCCTCCATTCCTCAAAGAATCTCTGCTAGCCTGCCCCTCCATTCCTCAAAGAATCTCTGCTAGCCTGCCCCTCCATTCCTCAAAGAATCTCTGCTAGCCTGCCCCGTCCATTCCTCAAATAATCTCTGCTAGCCTGCCCCGTCCATTCCTCAAATAATCTCTGCTAGCCTGCCCCCTCCATTCCTCAAAGAATCTCTGCTAGCCTGCCCCTCCATTCCTCAAAGAATCTCTGCTAGCCTGCCCCTCCATTCCGCAAAGAATCTCTGCTAGCCTGCCCCTCCATTCCTCAAATAATCTCTCTGCCTGCCCCTCCATTCCTCAAATTCTCTGCTAGCCTGCCCCTCCATTCCTCAATATCTCTGCTAGCCTGCCCCGTCCATTCCTCAAATAATCTCTGCTAGCCTGCCCCCTCCATTCCTCAAATAATCTCTGCTAGCCTGCCCCTTCCATTCCTCTCAAAGAATCTCTGCTAGCCCGCCCCGTCCATTCCTCAAAGGATCTATGCTAGCCTACCCCTCCATTCCTCAAAGAATCCCTGCTAGCCTGCCCCCTATTAATGCCCAAACCACCCTTACAATTATAGGGTGAAAGTGCAGATTGTCGGGACGATCCCAGACGGCGGTCAAGCCACAGTGGCCGGGCTTCGGCTCTTGAGATTCCTGGTTGATGATTTTGTCGCGCAGCACCTCGATGTAGGCGCTGTCTGAAGGAGAAAGTGGGAGAGAGAGACAGAGAGAGAGGGAAAGAGAGTGAGTGAGCAAGAGAGAGAGAGAGATGCCGACGCACCATAGTTCGGGACGTAGCCGTCGTCCGAGTCCGAGCCACCGGATGGAACTAATATCATGATTTTGAGTTATTTAGATCAGCCCCAATCTAAGATAACCAGTCAATATCTAATGTAAGGTGTCCAAGTAAGGCTTAAGGTATCTGACCACAAGTGCATTGCTTCTCGTCCTCGTACTTGACGCCGGTGTAGCAGCCTGGCTGCCGCTTGTGGCCGTGGCCCCAGTTGGCGCAGTAATACTCATTCGGCTCGCAAGCTGAAAGCGGGGCAGGCTAGCAGAGATCATTTGGGATGAGAGAAAGGGGAGGGGCAGGCTGCAGAGATCATTTGGGATGAGAGAGAGGGGAGGGGCAGGCTAGCAGAGATCATTTGGGATGAGAGAGGGGGGGGGGGCAGGCTAGCAGAGATCATTTGGGATGAGAGAGGGGGGGAGGGGCAGGCTAGCAGAGATCATTTGGGATGAGAGAGAGGGGGGGGCAGGCTAGCAGAGATCATTTGGGATGAGAGAGAGGGGGGGGGGCAGGCTAGCAGAGATCATTTGGGATGAGAGAGAGGGGAGGGGGCAGGCTAGCAGAGATCATTTGGGATGAGAGAGAGGGGGGGGGGGCAGGCTAGCAGAGATCATTTGGGATGAGAGAGAGGGGGAGGGGGCAGGCTAGCAGAGATCATTTGGGATGAGAGAGAGGGGGAGGGGCAGGCTAGCAGAGATCATATGGGATGAGAGAGAGGGGAGGGGCAGGCTAGCAGTGATCATTTGGGATGAGAGAGGGGAGGGGGCAGGCTAGCAGAGATCATTTGGGATGAGAGAGAGGGGGGGGGGCAGGCTAGCAGAGATCATTTGGGATGAGAGAGAGGGGGGGGGGCAGGCTAGCAGAGATCATTTGGGATGAGAGAGAGGGGGAGGGGGCAGGCTAGCAGAGATCATTTGGGATGAGAGAGAGGGGGAGGGGGCAGGCTAGCAGAGATCATTTGGGATGAGAGAGAGGGAGAGCGGGCAGGCTAGCAGAGATCGTTTGTCTGCCACCCACCGTAGATGACGTCATGCCTTCTTCCGTTCCAGTATATCTGCTCGCGCACGGCGACTCGAGGGCTCTGCCCGGGTCCGGTTAGCGGCTCCGAAATTGTCTCCCCGCATCCGAACTGCTCGTCGTAGAGGAAGCTCGACGCCGAGCAGTAGACGAAACGCTGGAAAATCGATCCCAAATGATCTCTGCTAGCATGCCAGGGTGGCTAGCAAAGACAATTTGCGGAAGGCACCTACCGGCGGATCCGGATACCACAACGACCGCTCGGTCTCGCCACCACAGATTCCCGTCTCCTCGCCGCGGTCGAGGCGCTCCTTGCTGTACCACTTGAGGGCCTCGACGATGTAGGGGCCGGCTGAAAACGAGGGCAGGCTAGCAGAGATTCTCTGAGGAATGGACGGGGTAGGCTAGCAGAGATTCTTGGAGGAATGGAGGGGCAGGCTAGCAGAGATTCTTTGAGGAATGGAGGGGCAGGCTAGCAGAGATTCTTTGAGGAATGGAGGGGCAGGCTAGCAGAGATTCTTTGAGGAATGGGGGGCAGGCTAGCAGAGATTCTTTGAGGAATGGGGGGCAGGCTAGCAGAGATTCTTTGAGGAATGGACGGGGCAGGCTAGCAGAGATTCTTTGAGGAATGGCGCCTACCGTATCCCGCTAGATTGGCGGCAGAAGTGCCCTTGCATTCGCATCCGGTCTCGGATGCTCGTTGGACGCCCCGGAAGCACGCGTAGAAGTCGTCGAACGCGCAGAAGACGTCGCCGTCGGGACAGGCTAAAAACTCGTTTTAAAGGGACAGTGACAGTTAAGAAATCCGGTACTGAACTGTTAGCGGGGGTGGGGGAAAGGGATGGTTTTTTTTTTGTTTTTCAACCTATTGAAAGTTGTTTTATAGTGTTTTTACAGTTTTTGGTTTCTAGAAGGCTGTAAAATATTTTTAAAATCATGAAAATTCGAAATTTTGGGTTTTTTTCGTCATTTTTCATACATTTTTCGTCACAATCCAAAAATTATATTATTTTTATTATTTTCATGTCTAAAAACTATGTAAAATGCCATAAAAATGGTTTTAATATTTTGTTATAGAACGGTAGAGAATCACAGGGGAAAATGTGGCCCCCACTAACAGTCCAGAGCCGCAAAAACCTCTTAAAGGTGCTGTGACAGCTAGAAAAACCGTTTTAAAGGGACAGTGACACCCCAAAAATGTTCCCAAAGCGCTACCGTAGTTGATACGCTCCCATTTGCCATCATCGGGGCGTTGGTACAGCTCGGTGAAGGCGACCTGGGCGGGGTCGGGTGTCTTGTTCTCCATGCCCGTGCACGTCCCCGAGTACGCGTCGTACAGGTCGCTCATACCGAGGACAGGGCAGACGCGGTTTGCCTGAAAATGAGCGATCGAGTGGGGCAGGCTGGCAGAGATCATTTGGGGAATATGCGCCCGGGGTCAATGAGCGGAGATCATTGAGGAACGCGCTTTCGAGAGCCCGGGAGGCTAGCAGAATTCCTTGAGGAAAATGCTCCTGGCTAGCTAGCAGGATTCTTGGGGGCGAAAACTGTAAGACATGCTAGCAGAGACCATTGGGGAAAATGGGGCCAGGGACCAACGAGCAGAGACCATTGAGGAAAATGCCCCGGGCGAGCTAGCATAGATTCCTGGATCGAAAAGTGCCGGGCACGCATGCAGAGACCATTGGGGGAATAGCGTCGAGGCCAACGAGCAGAGATCCTTGCGGAAAAGGTCCCTGGGAAGCTAACAGATGCGACCTTTGCCCCCCCCCGCTAATGCAATTGCACCGGCGCAAGCTAACTATTCTGTGCGGGAGGACCTCTTCAGCATTTGACAGTGCATGGCAAGGTAGCGATTCTTTAGGAAAAATGTGCTCGGAGAGAACGGGCAGAGACTTTTTTCTCTATCTCTCTCGCTCTCTCGCTCTTCTCTCTCTCCCTCACTCTCTCTCCCTCACTCTCTCACGCTCGCTCGCTCACTCTCTCTCTCTCTCTCTCTCTCTCTCTCTCTCTCTCTCTTTCTCGTCTCTCTTCTCTCTCACTCACTCCCTCTCACTTTCTCTTTTCTCTATCTCTCCCTCTCCCTCTCTCCCTCTCTCCCTCTCACTCTCTCTCGCTCTCTCTCTCTCTCTCTCTCTCTCTCCCTCCCTCTCTCTCACCGCTTCTGGCAGCATGGTTCCGACGGTCCTCCTTGGGCCCTCATTCCATTCCTTCGCACAGTCATCCATGGTCGGGCTGAAAGCCTGCAGCCAGGAGAGGATTGTCGGATGGAGGGAATCGGCTAGCAGAGGGGTTTCGCCTTCTTTTGGCGCTAAAAGCGTAGTGGTGTAAGTATTACGGCATCGTACTTACCGCACGCGCCGCAATCTCGACGTGTCACACCCGTGTAGCATCCAGGCTCGAGTCCCAAGCCTTCGATCGACGGGCAAAAGAGAGTACCCTCGGCACAGCCTGTAACGAGGTGGTGGGCAGGCTAACAGAGATCCTTTGAGGAATGGCGGGGCAGGCTAGCAGAGATTCTTTGAGGAATGGACGGGGCAGGCTAGCAGAGATTCTTTGAGGAATGGACGGGGCAGGCTAGCAGAGATTCTTTGAGGAATGGACGGGGCAGGCCAGCACAGATCATTGCGGAAGCCAAAACCCATACCGTATGTGATCCGAACGCTCCTCTTTACACCGAGTTGCAACGCCTCGCGGTAGACGAGTCGCTGTTTATCGATGCCATTTTCGTGGAGATCCTCGATATTGGTACATCGGCTGCGTGGCAGATACGGAGGATTCGAGGGGGAACACAGGTAGTACGGCTGAAAAATGGGCTGTTAAAGCTCTTTATCATTCTCTCTCTACTCTCTCTCTCTCTCTCTCTCCGCTCTCTCGCTCTCTCGTCAAGACATCCAATTCTGGTACTGGGTAGGGTGCAAATCTGTCGGGACTGCGGTCGTAGCTGAGGTCGCTGTGGCAGGCCGCCCTGTCCTGAAAAAGGAATAGGGTCCCAAATCCCAAATGATCTCTGCTAGCCTGCCCCCTCCCCCTCTCTCTCATCCCAAATGATCTCTGCTAGCCTGCCCCCTCCCCCTCTCTCTCATCCCAAATGATCTCTGCTAGCCTGCCCCCTCCCCCTCTCTCTCATCCCAAATGATATCTGCTAGCCTGCCCCCTCCCCCCCCTCTCTCTCATCCCAAATGATCTCTGCTAGCCTGCCCCCCCCCCTCTCTCTCATCCCAAATGATATCTGCTAGCCTGCCCCCTCCCCCTCTCTCTCATCCCAAATGATCTCTGCTAGCCTGCCCCCTCCCCCCTCTCTCTCATCCCAAATGATCTCTGCTAGCCTGCCCCTCCCCCTCTCTCTCATCCCAAATGATCTCTGCTAGCCTGCCCCCTCCCCCTCTCTCTCATCCCAAATGATCTCTGCTAGTCTGCCCCCTCCCTCTCTCTCATCCCAAATGATCTCTGCTACCGCACCATAATCGTCGTCTCGAGGATGCGTATGTAGATGTTGTAGTTAATCATGTCTGCAAGCAATTTTTCACAAAGTCCAGGTTCTCCCTGCCGAATTTGGTGGTCGTGTGGTTGAGCCCTGTTTCCTCTCCATCCCTCGGATCTGCAAGCTTTCTCTCTCTCTCGCTCTCTCTGTCTCTCTGTCTGACTCTCGCTCTCTTGCTCTCTCTCTCTCACCCCCTCTCTCTCCCTCTCTCTCCCACCAGGAACAAAGACACCCACAACAAGGACAATTCCGTGGTATGTAGCCGTAATTCCCATCGGTGTCGGCGTTATGGACGCGGTTCGCCCCCGAGTAGCAACCCAGTGGCCTCTGTTCCATTTTTCTAAAAATTATTTTACGAGCTTTTTTTTGTAAAAATTATCGCAGTTTCAGCCCAAAAACAAAAAAATTTCCGGTAGTAGTTTTTATTTCCCACGAAAAGATTTTTGCCCCCCCGTTAACGCGAAAGAACCCCAAAATTCGTACCCGCCGGTCGTCCTATTGGTCGTCGGTTGCCATTTATTGCAGGCGATTTGGTGTTCGCGGCAGGCTGAAAATACGGGTACTGTACTCTTAGCGGGGGGGGTGCATTCCGAAATGCACTTACCGTAGGTGATAAATTCCTGGAATCCATGGTGCTGGACCCACTCGCTGAAGTGGATGTCGTCCTCGTGGATGCTGCTCAGCGACGGCGTCAAGTCCATCTCGGCACAGCCCGAGTCGAGGTCAAACGGGCGGACATAGGCTTCGCAACGGATCGGAAGCTGGAAGGGATGAAGAAGAGAGCGAGAGAGAGACAGACAGAGAGAAAGAGAGAGTGTGAGAGAGAGAGAGAGAAAGAAAGAGAGAGAGAGAGAGAGAGAGAGAGAGAGAGAGAGAGAGAGCGACAACCCATACCGGATACAGCCACTGCGAATCGGTCGTCGACTGCCGAAAGCCGCACGTCCCGGCCTCCTAAAAGCGAAATACGGTAAGGCTGGCCTTGGCTTGGCTTTGGCTTGGCTTAGGCTTGGCTTAGGCTTGGCTTAGGCTTGGCTTAGGCTTGGCTTAGGCTTGGCTTAGGCTCGCTAAAGCAACCCACCATTCTACGCGACTCATATATATTGAACAGCCGCTTGTTCATCGGCTCGCGCATCACCGGCTTGACGTCGGCCTTCTTCTCACAGCGGCAGTGCATAACTCCAACTTGTCTCCACGTAACAGACGTCGCCTCGTAGCAGCCGTACTTCTTCGGGTCCGGCTCCTCCCCGGCGAACACGTAGCACATCACCGTCCCGGTGGGGCACACTGAAAACCAAGATAAGCCAAGCCTAAGCCAAGCCTAAGCCAAGCCTAAGCCAAGCCTAAGCCAAGCCTAAGCCAAGCCTAAGCCAAGCCTAAGCCAAGCCTAAGCCAAGCCTAAGCTGCCTAGCCGCTTCCAAGCCAAGCCTAAGCCAAGCCTAAGCCAAGCCGCTAAGCCAAGCCTAAGCCAAGCCTAAGCCAAGCCTAAGCCAAGCCTAAGCCAAGCCTAAGCCAAGCCTAAGCCAAGCCTAAGCCAAGCCTAAGCCAAGCCCAAGCTGCCTAAGCCAAGCCTAAGCCGCCCTAAGCCTAAGCCAAGCCTAAGCCAAGCCTAAGCCAAGCCTAAGCCAAGCCTAAGCCAAGCCTAAGCCAAGCCTAAGCCAAGCCTAAGCCAAGCCTAAGCCAAGCCTAAGCCAAGCCTAAGCCAAGCCTAAGCCAAGCCTAAGCCAAGCCTAAGCCAAGCCATACCGTAGATCTGTTGCTTGTGGTCACGTATATATTCGGAGAAGAGGACGCGTGGGTAGAGATCGTCTCCGGCAAAATCCAGCCCGGCTTCTTCCCACTTCTGTTCCCCTTCAGCTTGTGGTCGGATGCGCCATTCGCCTGAAAAAGAGGTTCTTTTGCATTACCGGGGGGTGGAGCAATTGTCTTAGATTCGGTTTTTCAAATATAAATAGAGGAACCGAGTCTTATCCGTTTTTACTATGCCTAAGCGTAAAAACTGTAGAAATTCCTATGGAAAAATACAAAAAACATCGATTTTTCGACGAAAAATGGACGCATCTCGCCAAAATTTTGAATTTTTCAAGTTTTAGAGCGATTCTCCGAATTAACATGTTTTAAAGGGCTGTATAAGTAAAGCCCATAAAAAATCAATAAGAACCGACGGTGGCGCCAGTCGGCGTTGTCGGTTGAAGCCGACTGGTGGCTGGGGAGGAAGAGGAGGAGGAGAATTCCGAGCTCATATAGCAGCATGATTCGGATAAAGTAATAGCCGAAAAATGACGGCTTTTCTGGAGACGCTTAAGGAAATTGCGGGCGATTTATGCAAATCTGGTGTGGTAAAGGCCCTCTCTCTCTCACTCTCTCTCTCTCTCTGCCTGCCTCGCGCCCAAACTCCTTACAGAATCTCTGCTTGCCGGTACTTGCCTATTAACGGGGGGGGGGGCGTTTAGGTGTTAACTGTTTTTAAATATAAAAATCGAAAGAATTATAACACTTTTTCTCAAATAGTCGAAAAAGGCATGAAAAAACTTAAGTGTTTGAAACCGATAAATCTGTTCTGGTGCGTTATCGGGCGGGGAGGGGTAGCTTTCTCAAAGCCGCTCTGCTAGCCCTGCTCCTGTAGCTTGTAGCCGCATTTAAAACGCGTAATCATTTATCATCTTTCATCGAACAACAACAATAACAACAGCAATAATAACGAGCGAAAAGCGTAACAATATTTCCAACAATTAACAATTATTTTTGAGAGCGAGGGAGAGAGCCGTATCAAATGGTAACAACAATAAAGATGAATATAGATGAAAAACACTAAAATAAAACGATTTAAAGAGACAACAATTTCCGGAAATTCCTCAGGACGACTTGGCCGGCTGGTTGAGCTGGCGCATCGCGACCAGGTACTGTAGCCCGTACTTGTTCTGCTCGGCCCTGGAAATGAAGAATTATGTGCATTTCTCATCCCAAATCATCTCTGCTACCCTGCCCCCCTTGTCCCTTACGATTTTCGGTGCTTTAGCATTATCGGGGGGGCGGTGTCGTTATTGGGAGTTAAATTTTTTCCTAGTATCCTACTCTATATAAAAAAATAGTGTCTGTGTGTGTGTGTGTGCATTTGCATGCAACTTCCGTCACCGTGTTCCAGCAGTATCTCCATAGGGGAAGTACTTAGGGTATGTTCGATACGTCATTAGGAGCGTAATGGCCTGGAGATGACTGCACACATATCAGATTTTACAAAATATAACGTTTCCGACATTAAAATTAAGTTTTTCATGGAAAATCGGACACCCCTCTTTGTTAGGATCAAATTAGCATGCACCGGAAGTCGCGGTAGCCTATATAAAGGGACGGCAAGAACATTTTTCATTTTTCGTCATCCGAATCCGGGAAAATTATGCAAAGCCAAGAATATCATTAGAGAAGACGCGGCCTGGGTTGAAAAGTCGCGAAGCGGCTTTTCAACCCTGGTTTTTATTAAAATTTAACTATTTAAAATGCGAAAAAACTATAAAATGTTTTCAAAAAAATTACAAGTCCAAATTTGCGCCGCGAATCGGCCATGTTTGGCCGAAAAATCCATATTTTTTGTCTTTTAATCGTAATTAGTAAAGTTTTACGCTTAAGAATAGTAAAAAAAACCGTTCAGAAACGCTGCTCAATCGGTATTAAAAAATTAAATCCTAAAGAAAAAGCCCCCCCCCGATAAGGAGAAAGCGCCCGCTTTAAAAGTCTAAACGCTATTTTCTATATCTAGTAGGATCCCGCAGACGCATCCTACTATATATAAAAAAATAGTGTTTGTGTGTGTGTGTGTGTATGACACTTTGCATGCAACTTCCGTCAGGTTGTTCCAGTCGTATCTCAAGAAGGAGAATAGTTAGGGTCATGTTTGATACGTCATTAGGTGCATAATCTCCAGGAGATGACTGCACACACATCAGATTTATCAAAATCGTCGATTTTCGACATTAAATTTTAGTTTTTTGTTGAAAAATCCGACACCCTCTTTGTTAGGAATCGATTAGCATATACCGGAAATGGCGGAGAGCCTATATAAAGTAGCAGAGAGCGCATTTTTCACTTTTTTTCCAGCGTGGGTCGTGCCGAATTATGCAAAGTGTAAACTTTCATTGGGTTGGACGGGGCCAGGGTTGAAAAGTCGCGAAGCGGCTTTTCAACCCTGGTTTTCTATAAAATTCCTAAATTATTTCTGCTAGTTTTCTCCTCGATTACTTGATTGCTAAATCCGTCGGACCATTAAGACTAGCCAAAGCTCTCTGACCCCAAAAATGCGTGAAACTCACATGCTCCTGATGAGTTGCGTGTGGTGCTGGATGAACTGCTGGAGGCCGGTGAGCAGCGCCGCGTCGCCCCGGCCCTTCAGCTGGCCGCCGTGCACCTTTAGGACGGCCTGGATCCATTTCTAAAAGGGAAAAACTTAATATAACAATATAAAAAATTTAATTCGTGTGAAAATCCCAAAAAAATTGAAATTAAATTGTAACGAAAAAAACTGGGCTTACCATGTAAAAGTGGACATGCGGCGAGCTGTAGGCCACCTCGCCGTCGGCGATCCATTTCAGCAACCGTTCGGCGTACAGCAGCGGAATCGTCTGGCAGACCAGCTCGACTAAAAAGAGGAATCGGTTTTGGGTTCTTTTCCATTATCGAGGGGGGTAATTTTTCCTACACCTCAGAAAAGCCTAGCAACAAAATAGTAAATGTTTTCATCCATTTTAACTACACAACGTCGAAAAACTATCTAAAAACCCTAGAAAATTGTCGAAATTTGTCGAAAATCGTCAAATTTTGTATTATTGTATCGGCAAATCTATATTTTTGTTTTTTTAATAAAAATGCCTAGTTTTTACGTTCAAGACTAGCTAAAAACAGCCTCCAAGTGGAAAAAACTATTGAAAATACTAGAAAATTGTTGAAATTGGTCAAAAATCGGCCAATTTTGCCTGAAAAATCGAAATTTTAATTTTTAATAAAATTTGTAACATTTTTACGTATAGAAGTTGCCAAAATTGGCCTAGAAACACCAAAAAAACAAGTACCAAAATTCACTTACTCTGGCCGACGGGCGTCGCCTCGAGGCACTGCGTCACCAGCGTGTTCTCGTTCAGCTTCAGCGCCGCCATCAGGGCCGTCGAGTACTCGTTGAGGGAGAGGTGCCTGGAAGAGGGAGCATAAAAACTGCGCGACCAGGCAGGCGAGCAGTGATTTTTTGAGGAATTTTACATGGCAAATCCAAAATACGTTTTTATCGTATAAAAAAGATTTTTCACTTTTTACACTGTGTAAAAAATACGTTATAGAACATTTTATATCATAAATCTTCAAATTATGAAAAAAATGTGACTTTTCGAGCAAGATTTCCGCAAAAAAAATTACTTTCGGTAATTATTTCGTACAAAAAAGGTTACTTTTGAACGGTGGCCGGGCTGGTGCTGGAGTCGAGCTGGAACGGGTCGAACAGGGTGAGCATGTCCAGCGAGTACACCGCCACCCCCTCCGTCGAGCACACCGAGAAGCGACGGCCTGGAAAATAGAGACATTAGCCTTCAAAAGTCCTTTAAAACGCAGAAAAAAAATTTCTAAAATTACGATTCCTCAACGATCTCTGCTAGCCTGCCTTTTATATATTTTTCAACTTTATAAATCGGTTAAAACGTCAAAAAACATATTTAGCCGTAAA